AAGCAGTATAATAGTCAGTAAGGGCGGGGCTGCACCAGGTATGGTCAACACAACAACAGTCACCGCCCCACACAGAGACTGTTAAGGTACACACTAATACACACCACCTGGTCCCCCCTCAGCCACTAACCTTCCTGTGTGTTACTATTTACGGGTACAGCAACAAGAGAACACCTGAAGCAGGGAATATGGGGAGAAAGTTGAAATACTTCTTCCATTATTACTTTTCTCGTCGAAAAGACAACAATATCATTCCGCCTCAACCCAACCAGTGTTAAAATAAAATGTCCCTCACCGCTGAAATAAATATTACCTAAGATATTGTGCCCAAGGACTTATTAATAATATTGTTCAAGAAAAATAGGAAAAAGAGTTATCGTGGCCCGGAGGTTACATAATATTATATCACACACACGCCCCGGGGAGAGAGGAAGACATCAATTACCTGTAATAATAAATTTTGTCCAAGACTTATTGTATAGAAGTAAAAATATGAACATCTTTAAAAACAAAATTATACTGTCTTCAATAATATCATCTACACACACACACACATACACCCACCCACCCACCCACCCACACCCACACCCACACACCCACACCCACCCACACACCTTACCCATACAAAGACTTCATCATAACACAAAATAAAAACCTCTAATCCAAGAACGAACAAGAGTAGCCACAACAGACAAGACTCAAAACAATCACAGACACACACAGCTGTCATACACCCTCTATCTCGACCCAGATGAAGGTATAGTGCCTCCGTGGCCCACCCAGCATTACCTTCACTACCCCTCCCCCTCCCACACACCTCACAGCACTTGTCAATCACGTGTGTTCTGCGATAATGACAACAAACGATTATAACAACACACAAGGGGCAGCTACTGTATATCATAAGTCAGGTGTGTTAGGTAAGTCAGGTATATATTCCTCAGAGGTTTAAATTGTTGGTTTAGGTTTGGTTTATTTCAGGTGTGTCTCTCTGGCAACACTTAGCTGACTATCACTCTCACCTGGGCCCTACTACACTGTGGCTAACGGCGACCATCTGAACTACTGTACACTCGCAACTAGCCTCATTTGTTTACAACCATGACGTGTCGCATTCATAAAAGGACAAAAAAAATTATATCACGCTGAATTTATGTTTAACTGCGATACTGCGTCACTGGTGTATAATTTCATACTTAAATATATATTAAAAAAAAAGTTTGAAAAAATAAAAAATAAATTAAAGTTTTGTTTCCACCTAAATATTTTTTTTTTGAGGGGGGACTCATATGCACCACCACCAAGTTTTGTAAATATTCGTGTTTTGAACTAGATTAGCTGAGGCCGTGACCCAGAGCCGGCAACTTGGCTCTCCCAACATCACCTTTACACACAAATTTGAGATGGATTTTAACCGGGCGGGTCCTATCTGTTACCACCAGCAGCACTACCACTACTACCACCAGCACTACCACTACTACCACCAGCACTACCACTACTACCACCAGCACTACCACTACTACCACCAGCACTACCACCACACAGTCACAACATGATCCACCCTTGTTAGTGTTGTTTGTATGTATGTATGTATGTATGTATGTATGTATGTATGTATGTATGTATGTAGTTCAGATACGTAATCCACTTAAGTTACTGGGGGAGGTTAGATAGGGAGGATAGTTGGGTGGGGAGGTTAGTCGAGTTGGGAGATTAGATGAGATTAGCTGAATGGGGAGATTAATATAGTGAGGAGATTAGTTGGGTGGGGAGATTAGTTGGGTGGGGAGGTTAGTTGGGTGGGGAGGTTAGTTGGGTGGGGAGGTTAGTTGGGTGGGGAGATTAGTTGGGTGGGGAGATTAGTTTGGTGGGGAGGTTAGTTGGGTGGGGAGATTAGTTGGGTGGGGAGAATAGTCATGAGTTGCGTAAGTGTCAAGTAACAAGTGTCATAAAGTGAATAGTACTTATCTCCAGTGTCAAGTCACATTAGCTATTATTCAACTCACAAAAAGTTGGTCAGGAAAAAATTATTTGCCAAAACTTTTCTCTTGCAAACTTATAAAGTAGGACACTGAAAACTATGCAAAGTTACACCTGTGTTAAAGTAGGTCCAGGTAAAGTGACTACTAATTAAAGGTGTGTCCAGGTAAAGTTCAATGCATCCACAACAGCCACGTAAAGTCACACCTGTTAATAGTCACACCTGGTTAGTCACGCCCCTATAGTTACACTTCTTAGTCACACCTGCTTAGTCACACCTGTATAGTCACACCTGCTAAGACATACCCAAGTAAAGGCACACCTGCTCAGTCACCCCCACACAGTCACACTTGCTTAGTCACACCTTAGTCACACCCCACAAAGTAACACCTGTTTAGTCACACCGCCATAAAGTAACACGGGTAAAAATATCCCTCCTGTTACAGACGAAGGGCTTCATCTTGTCCCCAGGTAACACCTTAAACACTGTGAGGCATTACCCAGGTACAGGTACAGCCAGACCTGAGAACACCTGCTTTTAGTCACATCAACGTAAAGTCACATCTGCTTTTAGTCACATCTACTATTAAACTCAGGTTAAGTGACTCTAATTAATGCTCTAGCCACAGGTAAAGTGATACACTCTTTTACGTTTACATTCAGCTTAAGTCACACTTCACTTAAAGCTGAACCCAAGGAAGAATTGATAACGAATTAAGTTACACAAGCAAAAATTAAAAAGACATCGAGACCTAATTAAATGCACCTGTCTGATGCTTTACCACTGTAGCAAATGACACTTCCCTAAAGGTACCACACGATTAACACCCCTCCCCCACCCCCCAACCTCCCCCCCCTTCCCCCTCCGGAATAAAATGCTACCCGTGGAAATTTAAAATATGTATAAAGTTACTGTCGCCCAAGTTGCCCCGGAGTGTAAAAAATAATCATAGTGAAATTAACTTACCAAGACGGAAACTTAACATGAATATTATATCAATCTGGCCTTAAGTGCTCCCCCCCCTCCTCCATCTCTGGTAAGCTATACGTCCGTCTGTCCGTCTGTCTGTCTGTCTGTCTTTTAATCTCCCTACAAAATGCCAAGTTAATCACATTTTGTTTTTCTTCTAAAGTTGTAAGAATCCTAACCTAACCTAACCTATTGAACGGTGGTTGATAAATTTATACCGACAGCTGAGGCAGAGAACATACATGAAAAACTAAAGAATAGAAAGAAAAAAAAAACTCCCTGTATTCATAATAATAGAATTTAATCATGAGAAAGTTAGATTTTTTTTGGTTTTATTAGAAGAGGAAATAAATTGTATTTGTTGAGTTATAATTTTTTTTTTTGTCATGAGTATAGAATTTGCTCCAAGAAGATCTGTTTCAAAAAGAGAATTTTAAAAAAGGAAGGAATTTATTTCCTGAGAGTTTAAGACTTAATTAGAGGAAGATAAAAAAATAATAATAATAAATGCAAGAAAAAAACATTACATGAACACATAATTTTTCTCTGTCAGGATAAAGAGAAAATTTGTCGCAGGAGAGAGGAAATTTTTCTCTCTCTCTCTCTCTCTCTCTCTCTCTCTCTCTCTCTCTCTAATCCTGGCAGGAGTGGTGACGCCATGCCACTCACTATAAAGGCTTCAATAATATACCACCACTACCACCACTATCACTACCCTACCGCCATTACCACCACTACTTCCACCACCACTACTACCACCACCACCACAACTACTACCATCACTCAACCCGACCTTTCTGGGAGGAGTTATTAGACTGGTGACACGAGCTGACCTCATCCCTTCCCCTCCCTCCCCTTCCTGCCGTGTTGGGTCATCCTCCAGGTCAAGGTTCGTCAGTGTTTGTAGTATCGATCAACTTCTTGCTTCTGACGTCACCCTTTATCATCGTCCTACCGTCCAGGTCTCTCTCTCTCTCTCTCTCACACACACACACAGGTCATGCATCTCATCATGTCATCGTCCAGGTCACAGTTTATGGCTCCGTATGTCACCGTCCAGGTCACAGTTTATGGCTCCGTATGCCACCGTCCAGGTCACAGTTTATGGCTCCGTATGTCACCGTCCAGGTCACACTTTATGGCTCCGTATGTCACCGTCCAGGTCACAGTTTATGGCTCCGTATGTCACCATACAGGTCAGCCATGACTCTCCAGGTGCCACTGGTAGTAGGTTCTTCAGCCTATCACCCCGGCAGGCACTGTGGGGTGACACTCAGCGTGTAGGCACACCTGCCGTTACAAAAGGTTCCTCTCTTTCGCGATTCACCATCCGCTGCATAAGGCCCCCCTCCCTTCCCTACCCCCCCTCTCCTACCTCCTGCAGAACAACAGCATCCCCGGCAGGTGTAGAGGCGACCCACGTGCGGTGCCGTGGGTGGGGAGTGTCCTGTGACGCGTGAAATAAACATTGTAATCATTACTTGGTCGGTGGTTTCCGGGTGTAAACACTCCAGACGTGTCGTGACATGTTCCTCGTAATTATTTACATAAACAGCTGGTCGCTTGTGTATGATTTACGATCACTGTAGATATACGACTGTGTTTTGAACCGTCACTTAAAGCCAGACAAATGATCTGGTGCTGGATAATTGATGGGTGTTTGGAATGTAACTCGGCTTCCATGAAATTTATCTGTAGGTGGTAAGATGAGGTCAGCTGCTCACTGCCGCAGTGGACCCCAGCCACCACACCCCCACCACACTCACCACACATTGTACACACTCCATAATTTCGTCTACTCACTATACCTCCGTCAGTGATAGTGACCATATATGTCACGCCATCGCTAATATATTACGGATTTCACAACACCGGCAACATACATACTTTTCAGACTATCGATTTGATTTTTCTGGATAATGTGTGACACATAATTGCCTTCTTACATTAGCGTAAAAACAAAACAGTGGACTTCGTTTTCTTTGGCGCCTCCCGCCTGAAAGTTGGTGTTGAGAAGTAAGGTTGGGCGCAGTGTGAGCGGTGCACTTACCAGTCTGCCCTTTGCCCAGAGTCTTCTCCAGTCTGTAGGGCCCGACATACTGATGGTTGTCTGGTGGGTGACTGTTCTCCTTCTGCATGGTGGAGGAGTCAGGTAAGTAATCCGAGAGCACATCAAACTGCTTAACTAACACTAGCGAGAGCCCGCCAGCGCTCCCCCGCACACTCGACCGCCATGTTGGAACTAGGGGTGGGCGGGCTGCCTGGCGCGGCCGCAGTGCGCACTGACAACACGGCTGCCGTGCGCGATCAATAGACTCCAGGCATGGCTCTCTTCCCTCCGCCACCACACTCCTTCCCCGACCACACTCACTCCAGCCCGGGTCCTCCTGCAGCCACTACCCTCACCAGCCACCGCCCTCACTCGCCGCTAACACCTTCTCCAGGGACACCACCCACTGTCCCCCTTAAGCTGCACTACACCACTGTGGGCGGACTAACACTCACTACCACAGCTACACGTGACCAACGATCACAATAATACGTGTATTTGGCCACGAGAGACTTTTCTAGATTCCGAAAAATACAATTGGGATCGTCAGTACTGTCGACTACTAATAAATATACTAGGGAGAGGCTGCGAGGGAAGGCTCACTAGCTCTCGGTCCATCGGCACATTATGTTCCATATCTAAATAAATTATATTTCAATAGAATTTAAAATTTGTCTGAACAGGGATCAGAATTACCGAACACCTCGACCACTCGTGGTGACTTCTCGTAAGAATTCATAACATGAAGGAGAAGTTTGGTGGGGTGCTGGCGGACTGGCAGGACCTGCCGGGTGACGACCGCTCAGCTCTCCCGCGCCGCCGTCGGCAGGAGACCCAAGACCTGCCAACGATGACTCACACCCTCCCGCAACCCCTACCACACCCCGCCACACCACACCCAACCAAACCACACCCTGCTACACCACACCCTGCTACACCACACCCTGCCACACCACACCCTGCCATACCATAACCCCTCCCACCACACCCCGTCACACCACACCCTACTATACCACACACTCCGCCACACCACAACCCTACTACACCACACCCTGCTACACCACACCCTGCTACAACACACCGTCACACCACACCTCACCACATCCCGCCATACCACACCCTGCTACACCACACCACCACATCCTTCCATACCACACCCTACCATACCACACCGTGCTACACCACACCCCGCCACACCACACCCCACCCCGCCATACCACCTCACACCTCACTATCTGTGTGTGTTGTATCCCTCTATACTGTGTTCTCTATAAGTTATAATCATGGGCCTTAGAACGAAAAAAAAATATTCCTCTAGGGAGAAATAATATTATTTCCTCAAAATCTTTTCTTTCGGGATCTTGGGGGGGAAAAAGACGCCCCGCCCCCTTTCCCTCTCCCCGTCGTGCCTGAAGCTCGTGGTCTACCCCTTCAGGATCCTGCTGGGGCTTTTAAGCATTGCCTAGACCCTCGCCCTACCTGTATGGTTTCTCAAAATGCTTTCCTAATCAAATAATAAACCTAATCTAATCTAATCTAATCTAATCTAACCTAACCTAACGTGGTACACCGCTCCCATATTGGTGTGTTAACACTCTACCACACACAAAATTAGCTCGGGGAGGTGAAACGTGGAACGATGTTTTTTTTTCTTTTTTATTCCGATATTGATTTCAGCTTACTGCAGGTGTGGGCTGTTTGACCACGTGTAGGACAGTTACAGATCTTCCTCTCTTTTTATACCTGTAACAACAGTACACTATAAGTCGTCTGTTATGGTAAATATAAAGTGCGTTATTCTATAAGTTACCAGGAGGCGTCTTGGTATTATGAAAGGAGCGTGTACAGTCCCCTTCACTGGTGCGTTTACAGGGGTTCGTTATATAAACATTCCACAAATCATTACATTGAGATATTTGTTTTAATATTGTTTTACTTTGATTCCATAGCATGTTTACTATTGCTAGTTTCCTTCTGTCGAATGTAAACAAACACAGAGCTGCCACATTGTACAACACCTGACGACCCCCTGTAGATGGACTTGTGAAGGACCGTGTACCTTCATGAGGCACATATAGAGGTCCGCTATGAGAGAGGCTGTACTGTACAACCACTCACTCGTAACTCAGCCAGCGAACAGACAAAACACACAAGATGTTGCTTCTGGTAATACTGTTTATTATTATTAACTACTATTATTATTAACACACGATCGAGGGGGCAGCATATGATATGATAAACCGTCAATTAGAGTCGGTACTATACACCCTCGGACAGTGGTAGGGACGAGTGATATTTTTTTCGATATATATTTAAGTATTTTATAAATCTGAATATTATCCTCGTTGAAAATAACATGATAATACTGTAGGTAATTTTAGGAACAATTTCTGTTAATTCGCCTGGAAATCCAATTAAGAGTCGGATTTTTTCTTCAAAACTTTCCTAAGGCAGCTACCCGCCCCTCCCCCCCTTCCTCCTCCTCCCGAACTTCCGCTCCTTTAAAGAGATCCGCCATCGTTCCCTTCCCCTGGCATTCCCTACCACCTCCTACCCTTCCCTTCCCACCCCTCCTTTCCCAAGCTTTTAACACCCCCTCCTTCCCCTCACCAGAAAGAGACCTTCCGATACTCAACGGTGTCCCTCAGGGTAGCGTTCTCTCCCCTACCCTATATATATATATCATCTACACAAGGGACATCCCGCCTCCAACAAGGATACCAAACGAGGTTGTTAAGTACGCAGATGACCTTTCTATTAATAAATAAAGAAATAAAATAAATAAATAAATAAATTTAATAACCCTTCAAAACTACATTACCATTTCAGATATCAAACCCATATTAAATAAACCTTTATATATTACACAACCTCCCTCACAACCCCAGAGGCTGTCAGTGGTCATTGAAACTGTGGCTATTTTAATATGTTTTTGCTGTCATTTTTTTTTATATAGGTTTGACATCCAAATTGACAGTCCCATTATTGAAATTCCGTCTAAGTACGGTAGTGTCGCTCTGTCATCCATATAACAGCCACAGCACTCACCTTACTATCTTCACACCCTGTTACACCACACCTTGCCACACCACACCCTGACATACCATCCCCCGTCACACCACACCCTGCCACACCACACCCTGACATACCATCCCCCGTCACACCACACCTCGTCACACCACACCTCGTCTCACCACACCCCCTCCTACCAAACCCTGCTCACACCACACCCTGCTTCGCCACACCCCACCCCGCCACATACTCACTTGTCAATCCGCCTACTCACCTCACTCCACATAAGCACAAACAAAAATCACGGATAGTAATTTATGATTTACTGTCTCATTACGCCCAGGTGACCTCCTACACACAGGTAGGACTCATCAAGCTGTGACGTCTATTATGATTCCTAGTGTTTACCGTTACACACAAGCTGTACAATACGATGCCAGGACACACACACACACACACACACACACACACACACACACTGTACACCGTATGTTCCTTCTCTTCATCATTCTGCTGAGACCACCACTAACTTCTCCGCCTTCCACAACTTTCCTCACTCACTCACTCCTTGCCCGTCATGCTCCAGACCTTCATCTTCAACTATCTCGAATTTAAGATCGTGTCCAGCCTCTCACCACCCCCGTACAGGTACCACCACACACCCACTACAACACAACACTGGGTAATACTCATGGGTGTAAAATTTAATTACTAATAACTTACTGCACATGGGCGGAAGACATTACCTTAGCTGGGCAGGATCTTCAGGGAGGGGAGGGGAGAGGTTAGGTTAAGTTTGGTTACGCTAAGGGGATAAAACATTGTAATAAACGGGAACAACTAAAAACAGCGCCGTGTTTCTCAAATATGTATAGTGGTTCAAAGAAATATAAATATTATTTGTTCAGAGAATACCAGCACCACCAAACGTGTACACGGTGAATATATATCCCTATATAGCCTGTGAGTATTAATATACAGGTAGTAATCAACATGAGCCCACCACACACACGCACGCACGCACACGGATAACAAGGTGAGGGTAGTGGGTGGCAACCGCCGGGTCTCCAGACAAAAACCTTCACCACTCACTGAACTTGTTCATGACGCAGGAAATCGTCCGCGTATTTATTTGATGACTGACTGACGAGATGGTTACATTGTCAGCTTCTCAGATTATCTTATCGAGTTATTCCTTGAAACTGTTTTGTTATTTCAGGTGCCTGGCCGTTTCCTCGAGTTTGTTATTGTATATTACCATAGTAAGTTAAGTCTAAGTATCTCCTTTTGAGAAATTCCATTGTAAAGGCTAATTTGGGAGCAGGAATGCTACCAATGTTAACTAAGTGATGGTACATTTAACAGGGCAATGGGGGTGGGTGAGCGACTCGTTGCGTTACAACATCGACAACTGCCCCGACAAGACCTCCTTCCACCCCCGACCCCTCTTCTTCCTTCTTCCCGGCATCTACAGTACATCAGCTTCATCTGGAAACGCTGGCATCCTGAGATGTGTGCTGTGGGCGGTGCAGCGACAGAAGACCACTCCACGCCACACCATCCTCACCACACCACACCATCCTCACCCCGCCACACCATCCTCACCACGCCACACCATCCTCACCCCGCTACACCATCCTCACCCCGCCACTGAACATCGAGGGGCCTAAGCCTTGACTTCCGGTAATATCTCATTTATTTCCTCACACCCATCATTATTATCAGGCTTTATTTTATACCTTATAACAATAACGATGAAATACACTATTTAATGTATAAGAGCACAAGTGTAGACGTTTGGAGACTTTCATCACAACAGGAGGAGGCGGAGGAAGTAGGGAGGGCCCACACACACAGGTAGACAGCAGTGGGCCCACACACACAGGGAGAGGGCAGCAGGAGGCCCACACCCCACACACAGGAGGGAGCAGGGAGGGCCCACACAGGGAAGGAGGGAGGCCCACACACAGGGAGGGCAGGGAGGGCCCACACACAGGGAGACAGCAGGGAGGGCCCACACACACAGGGAGACAGCAGGGAGGGCCCACACACACACAGGGACACACAGCAGGAGGGCCCACACACACAGACAGGGACACAGGAGGGCAGGGAGGGCCACACACACAGGAGAGCAGGGCCCACACACACACAGGAGGCTGGGAGGACCCACACACAGGGGAGGGAGCAGGAGGGCCCACACACA